GAAGATAACTCATTTTCTGACTGATCTGTGTCAAAACATTTAAGGAAAATGCAATTATTTCTGTTTAAAATATTTTTGTAGATTAAATATTGAGAATTTTTTAATTGTAATTAAATATTTTAATTTTTTTTTTCAAAAATATTACGTTTTTCATTATTATTTACTTTGTAATAAAAAACAATACTACATGCTAACATAATATCATAGTTACAATCTCTTTAGCCGCCAAAATAATTTTTGCCTCCCAGATCGTTCAAATACCACACTGTGCGACGATAGAACAAAGAAAAATTCAAAATCGGCGGCGGTTATGCAAGTCATCCAGCAGTGAATTTTTCATCGTGCCTGCTTCGAGGTATTCATCGTGTCTGCAATTGGTTCGTCGTGAATATCGGCATGGCTTCACTTTGGCCGTCTTAGCCGCCTTCAAGCCAACGGACAAGCCATCAAGTGGAACCACATCAGCTCAGCGGTTGCAATACATACCTTGATATTGTCGTCGTGCATCGAGAAACGTAAAGAATCTCCTCGTCACGTCAAACCTAAAATTCCCTTAGAAAAAATCAACATAAGTGGTTTGCGCCAACAAAACCGTGAGATCGTTCCATTTATTCCTCAATCATACCTCTCATAATCACTATCATTAACCTTATTTCCTATAGATTTTCATTAGTTTTCATCGCATATTATTATTGCACATCATTCAAATATTTTTTTCTTCCACCCTCATTTTAGACTGTTACATCTCTTTATCACGATCACATTTCATTTCATTACTTCATAACTTCTTAAGTCAACAAGCTTTAAGTGCCCATTATAGTCATTTCTCATATACATACGTAGTGCAATTAAAATTATTTTATTTCAATGTGTAAGCAATGTTAATGTATAATTAAAGGCCTTAAAAATTGTTATAGCAATCTACGCTTCTGCATCTAGCTCAAATAAGATTTCTGCAACATATTGCTATTATTTTTTCACTAGACACTTGCAACGCGTAAACGACTTGATACATTTTTATAGAAAAATTTAGAACTTGCTATTTTTGCTCGTAATTTTCAACAGGCCCTCACTTTTTATCTTCATCTACATTCAAGCTTCTTCTGCTTCTTAATTAATTATGGCCAACATTAAACTGTCAAACACCAAGCGGTCACCGGTGACCGCAACCTATTGTTCTATAAGGTGTTAATAAATTAACTCTAAATATTTTATGAGGTTGGTGGGAATCAATAAACTGACACGTTTAGCAAAAAAAAATTAACAATTTTAACGACTTTTATTTTTAACAAAAATAAAGGAGTTGGTTAAACGTTTTTGTGCAAACCGTACGTGGGGCTGCGCTTGCGGCCCGAGCGAAGCCATGGCGCGCCGTCACTGTCCCCATGTTTTCGCAATCTCTCTCTCTTTCTCCCTCTCTCCCGTTCGCTAGTTGCCCCGCTCTCTTTCCCACTTCTCTCTCTCTCGATCGCCAGTTGACTGATAGCTGTCGCGTGGGAAGGGTGTGGCCCTCAGTGTCGTTCAGTGTTGTGTCCGATCAATCGCACGCGCCATTTTTTATTGTTTGTTGTGCAATATTCAATAATGCCGTTTACGCACAGTAACCGCAAGTACTTAGACATGTTAATGTGGTACATTAGAAGTGGCGAAAATGTATCTGCAGCTCGTCAGTGGTAGTGAGATTAGAAACGTGGACGAATTAAAAATAAGCATAATAAACGCGTTTGATATTATTAAAAGTGACAGAGACACATTATTGCGAGTGAAAAACAACGTAATACGTCGCGTCGTACAAACTTGTGCATCGAACAAAGTGGAAGACACTTCCAAGTTCCAGCATCTTCTGTAAATAAGGTAGACTCTTTGTTAATACTTAGGTATCTAGAGACGGGCATTTATTCCGATGAATACTTGTAAATGATAAATACCTAAGTAACTACCAACCTACCACCTAGTACTAGTACTACTAACTACCGAAGTATTGGTTTTTGGTTGAGTTATTATTAGTATTTACCTATTCAAAAAATTGACATAATTAATCATTGTAGCTATGCTATTTTAATTATAAGCATATCAATTCAGTTAAATAACATAATCTAAACAGAGTCGTGTGGTCGTTTATTAAAATGAAACATTATTAAGTTCAGTAGTAACATAAGCGCGCGGTACCACGACACCTGCGTCAGCGCGGTCGCTCGGGGCTTCGTCGACGGCCTAGTACGCCGTACGGCGCGCATATTAGGCTGTTTACGTGTAACACAAATAGTGGAATAACTTTAGAACGGTAGCTTTTTTTTAAATTATTTTTTCGTGATTAATTATGGAATAAATGTTACAACAAAACCTTAGATTTCCTAGAGTTAATTTATTAACACCTTATATAATTGTGTCTACAAAACCGGTACTCGACGAGTTAAAAGCCTTATCAAAAAGCGAGCTTCGCTTAAAGCTAAGTTTACACAATTCTCTTCCTACCTAAACGTAGTCAAGTCTTGTGAGAAGAGTGATATTCAGCTCATTGAAATTGAACATCGGCTTCATATATTTCAAAACCTTTACGAAAAATACGATACTTTACAGATGGACCTGGAGGAAGCGGTGGGTTGTCCACCGCGAGCAATATGCGGAACGCGAGGAATTTGAGAAGCTCTATTATGCCTTAGTTGCTTCTTTGCGTCAGCTGATTAGCAGTGCTCGTGGGCATCTTACGGGGGACTCCGCGTCCGAGGTGGTATCTGATATTTCGCACGTTTGTGCGAAGTTTGTGTTTACAAACACTCATCAGTTCGCTTACCCAAAATTGAACTACCTAAGTTCTCTGGCAGCTATCATGACTGGTTAGAATTTAGGGACACATTTATTTCCATCATATATAAAAATGAATCCATAGATAAAGTCAATATATTGTCATTTTGTGTTGTATTTATTGCTCGTATTTCTTCGTTTTCTGTAGTAATTGTTTCTACGTTATCAATATGTAGTATCTCACTATCGGTAGTTTTCAATATTTCCTCAACACGCTTGGTCTTATATAACACGGCGCACGCAATATCAACATTATCAACTGTATTATTCGAGATTATCTCTTCATTATCATTTTGCGATACTACCGGAGGAAGCTGATGGTACGACAAATTTTGCTCGGCTGCAATCGATGTGTTTGGAATTGCGTTGTTTACATTCTGATCGTTATATTCTGCAATATTTGAACTTGTTATCAGTGATGGGCCATCGGTAGGACTGATATTATATTCACTGATGAAAATAGAGCCAGAAGTTAATAAATCCGAAGATTAAAACGAGATGTTATCCCAGTTTTCAGATTTCTGACTGTCTTGAATTTTGCAAGATTTCTGACTGTCTTGGCTGTGATGTAATGTAATCTTCTGTATGGTACTAGGGGTGATCCAAAAGTAATGATAATCAATAATAAACACATTAAATAAAATCAAAAAATTAATTTATCTTATATTCTCAACATAGACTAAATCTATCTCTTTTCTAAACCTAAAATTCCCTTAGAAAAAAAATCTTTATCTTGACTCTCAAAAAAGTCCTCAACCGCGGTCATCACGTCGCTATCATCGTCAAATTTCTTGCCCCGGAGGTGTTCCTTGAGTCGTGGAAAGAGATAGAAGTCACTGGGGGCTAGATTTGGTGAATAGGGGGGGTGTTCTACTGCAATATCTCCATAGGGGTGGTGAATTCAAAGACGTGTTGCTTCCAATAAGTCTGATTTATTATTGCCAAATTTCCATATATCCAATAACCATACAACACTAATAAAGTACTTAAAACTATTCGCTGATTAAGCGCAACGTACACAAAGCACCGCTAATTAGTTCGTAACGCTCACATCGACACTACTGTCATTTACACAATGTACATGTGTGGGTAATTTCATATTACTGTGTATAAAAATATTCGTCCACCACGTTCACATTGGTATTTTCATTCTTGTGTCGGTATACGTATTTTTATAATTTAATGCATGGGTAAGGTTAAAACTATTTACAATCATTGATATGACCCGACATTTTCACTGTAATTATCGTAGTGCTCGTGGTCGATTGGTTAATGAGTACGCTTTTATCGTCTTTCAAGGATCAATGATGATGTGGGTTCTATTCCAGCTAAAAGTTTTTTTTTATTTTACCTTGTTGTTTTTCTTATTTATTTTTTTTTTGTTTTTTGTCATATAATATAAATATCAGGCTATAAAAGAAGCAAATCAGTCGGTAAATAAAACAATACTATTTTTTATTAAAATTAATTTATTAATTATACAAATATGTGGTTTTATATTCAATATTTATATCTAATAATTAATTATATACCACATGTTAACTTTAAAGTTCTTCCAATCATTCTAAATTATTCTAAATAATAAATAACTAGAACTAAAATATAAATAAAGGATATTATAGGTATAAATAAATCTAAAGTATTTACTATTAAAATTAACATAAGATTTAGAAAAATAGGATAGGAAAAAAAGAAAAGATTTAATTGTTTCTAATTTCACATTTCAAATATTTGATTAATTAATACTAAAACAACATGTGAATGCTGGAATCGATCCGGTGGCACTTTACTTGACCACTGGAGGCGATAACCATTGCGCCAAGCGCGCCGCAGATGAGAACATCGAAATATTGTATATCATTCAGTAACATAAAAATACAATGAGAATGCACTATATTTATATAAGTATTGTATTGCTCGATCGTTCATTATTTTTGATTTCGATTTATTCAAAGTTTGTTATGAGTATTTTTATCTTTACCCTCGTTTTTATTTAAACTTATTTACTAAAATATTACGTATACCGACACAAAAATGATATGTAATACCAAGATGTGTGTGATAGAACGAATGTTTCTATACATATCTATTAATATGAAATTACCCACACATGTTCACTGTGTAAATGATAGTAATGTCGATGTGTAGCGCCTCGAACTAATTAGCGGTGCTTTGTGTACCTTATTGTTTCTCAATCAACCTTGAGTTACAAAAAGATGTTCTTATGTCCTTACACGTCCCTCGAAAAAGTGGGGCTTCACCCCTTCCCTCAGGGAGAAAAAAATGTTGATCGATACTGCAATAAGTTACTTTGTAAAACATTTTTTTTATCTTCTCTTTTTAACATTCATATGTTGTGAAAGGTGCTTAGTCATTATGACAACGCAAACCTACAACGCCCAAGACCAAACATCAGCGCCGACAGCGGCCTACCCAAACCTAAGAGTTTATCAACCACATCAACACCTTTAACTAATGATCCTCTTTGGTTGGACAGCTTGGTCGTCGAGGGTGAGAAGGGCCTATCCTCAGAGAATTCCATCATGGACTTCAAAGCTGACGCCGCGTTTCCTTAGTGGAACACGAATGTAACGCATTATCGGATTGCGACAAGCACGTATCCGTATCTGTGCCCCAAAGCGCCTACGCATATTGTCATCACGTTATGTGGTGGTATCATGTCGCACTCATTGCGCAGAAACATGGAGAGCTAGTCCTGATCAGGACAGGCTGATCCACTTCGTTAACGGATACGATGCAATTGTTGGAGCAGGAGCTGCCTATCCTAGCCTATCTTGCAGGAATGGGCGACTTTACAGACGCGACAGGCGTTAAGCATTATCTAACAGCGCGCGAGCCAAACGAGAACGGCCACTTCGGTGCCGTAGATCACATGACTCATCGCGACTACGAGACGCTTATCTCGCCAGCCTTGTCTATAACGCGAGTTCTTAGTGACGTTGCGAGCACGCACAATCGAGGAGGGGATTTCCAAATGCCTGATGGCATCCTTCCAAGAGAGCAGTTCGAACATGAACGCGCACAGGCTAGAATGCCCGCCCGACAACCGGACGTCGAAGTACCACCACCGGATGATGACGACGTTGCCGAGGGAATAGAAGAAGAAGTAGTTGAAGAGCAGGTACCTGTTCACCAGCGCCAGGTCAATCAACCTTGAGTTACAAAAGATGTTCTTATGTCCTTACACTACCAGTTCAAAGCCCGCTTCCTGAATGGCAGCCATGGCAATTGCAGCTTTGTGAACCGGTGCGTTGTCTTGATGGAACAGCACTCCAGCCCACAGTTTGCCTCGCCTTTTCTCCTTAATAGCCCCTATAATCTTCTTATTTGTTCTGCATAGTAGGAGCCTGTAATAGTGGCCCCCTTTTTCAAGTAGTCTACCATGATTATTCCTTCAGCGTCCCAAAAAACAGACGCAATAACCTTCCATGGTCCATGGTCACAAAACGTGACAAAAAATTATCCTAGTCTGCCTGGAACTTTTCGAGATTTGCTCTTGACATGTCGATGCGCGGAGACCTTTCTCATATGCAATTCGTTTACAAGGATTCTTTGAAACTCATATGAGATCCCTGTGACCTCAGCTATATGCCTGATAGTCACTCTTCGATCTTCCAATACAACTTCTTCAACTTTTTCACATTTTCTCCAGTAAGGGACGTCGATGGGCGGCCTTCGCGGTGTTCGTCTTCCGTCGATGTTCTTCCCAGCTTAAACTCCTTAGCCCAACGTGCTACTGTGGAATATGGAGGAGAAGAGTCCCCTAATGTTTCCATCAAGTCGCTGTGTATGTCTTTGGTAGACATTTTTTTCAAGCAGAGGTATTTAATGACTGCTCAGTAGGCTTACTCTTGAAACTTAACTCAATGTCAATTTCAAACCAATCCACTAACAATACAATAATAAGTGCGTACTCTTGACCAGCTTGGAATTGAGATCGCATTGATATTGGGATTGCGTTCGTATTGGAAAGATAGGAGTGAAGTTAGCTGCACAATAGTGAGGACCTATGCGTTTGCCGCTGTATCGATAAACTGAATGTAGAATAAAAAACTACAGTTTTTAACCAATTTTTATGTTATATGTGAAAAGTGCATTGAAAAAAAAATTTACATTGTTTGATTCGCATATTCATTAATGTTTTTCAATAAAATTAATATTATTTAAACAAAATATATGAATTATAGGCTGTTTGAGCTGATCCATTTGCTTGAAATGACGTTGTTGATAAGGCTTTGTTGACATATTTTGACAGTTTGCGTTTGGTTTGAAAAATTTTGAAATAATATTGCGAACTTTTATTTTTCTTTAATTAAAACTTAAAAGTGTGCTGCAAAGATTAAAAAACTCAAGGCAAGTCTTATAAAGTATTAATTTATTATATTTGAAGTTATCCGGAAATTCGTTATGTCGAATTGTCTCACAATGTCTATATTTTTTTAGGTAAAAATGTCCAATCGCCCTTCAACGTTACAATTAGAAGCACTTGTGGAGTTTCTTGAACAAAATCCCGGAATCGCGAGGGGTTTTTTTAAGAACTTCGCAAGGGAAACAAGAATCTAAACAAAAATGGGCAGAAATAGCTGTTACTTTGAACGCTCTAGGCTGCGTCATCAAGGATGGACCCGGATGGTCAAAGGTAATGTATTTTTATTTTTAGCAACATATGAATAAATTCAAATGCTACACAATTATTCATATAATTAACAAGTACATAAATACTTAGTACAATGTAAACCCATTTTTCACTATTTATGTTATGAGTCCCATGTAATAGGGGGTGAGCCTATTGCCATATACCGGGCACAATTCCAGACTCCGTGCTACTACTGAGATTTTATTTTAAATCCAGTAATTCTTTGCCGGACCCGGGAATTGAACCCGAGACCCCGGGTTTTCTTTATTAATCGAGTCTTAATTAATCTTTGATCAAAAAATAAATACAATTTTTATATATTACAGCATTCTTCTGTTGTAGAATCTGAGTCGACTTCTACAATATTAGAATTTAGCGAAATGAATGTTGAAATCATCTCTGTTCCTGCGCCAAATTTAGCTACTTCAGAAACCTCAAGGGCTGAAACGCCTGCTGCTCCTGACGCAGTACCACCTCAAACTAGTAAGTAAATTTTTACCTGCTAATAAATAAAATTAATATTTCATAAAGACCACCAAATCGTTTACCAAATTTCTTACTGTTAATGCACAATATAATTATTAGACATACCATTAACCAACACTTCTTTATGACACAAGGCACTAAATGACCTTTAAAATGGTTTAAAAACCAAACTCTTCTTAGTTTGGTTTGCTATGTTAAATGTTATAGTTCAATATGTTCCTTGGAAGTAAAATATGAATTTGTATCTTTTTTAAGGTACCAATACAAACACCTCTCGTCGTCGGTCACGTCGTTTACTCTCTAGATACCGATACCGAGATGGACCGTATGGCAAGGATTGAGGAACGACGCGTTGAGGCTGATAGGTTGAGTGCAGAGGCCTCATCCGACACGAGCCGAAGACTAGAGAGACTCGCAGATGCTGCCGAGCAAATAGCTGTTGCCATAACGGGGGTGGCCAATGCTCTACAACAGATAGCAAATAATTTAGGAAGGACCTAATAAACGTCAATAGTTTGAGTCCTTCCTAGATTAGGTACTTTATTTTGCAATTATTTTTTTATTTTTTAAATGTTTGAGACATGTTAAAATCGTAGTAATTGGTGTTTCATAGTCTCTGCCTATCTCCATGGGAGACAGACGTGAGGTTACGTATGAATGTATGTACTTACCTATGTGTATGGAGTTTTAATATTGTAAAAAAGACTGATTTAGTTGTGATATTATGTTATTTAATTTATAAACTAAGATAAGCAAAGTAATTTTACATATTATTTTCACAATGTATAATGTGTGATAGAAATTATTAGTGATGTATAATTGTTATTGTCAGATGAGAGATTTAAAAAAAAAAGACTCGATTTATTTGTGATTATATCGACATTATGTTATTTAATTTATGATCTAAGACAAGCAAAGTAATTTTACATATTATTTTCACTATGTTTAAACTGTCAAATACCAAGCGGTCACCGGTGACCGCAACCTATTGTTCTATAATTGTGTCTACAAAACCGGTACTCGACGAGTTAATGTGTGATAGAAATTATTATGTTTAATTGTTATTGTCAAAATGAGAGATTTATAAAAAGAACGGATTACATTAGGAGCCATCCTAAAATTTTATTTTAAAGACTTAATGTTACATTAATTTCTAAATAAAACTACAAAAATTAATTTCAAATGTTTTTTATTTTATATTTTGTACCTTTGAATCAACATAAAAAAATTATATAAGAAAAAAAAAACTTATTATCTACGAGCTGCCCATAATTGCTGAACTAAAGAATTTCGTTTTTCAATCCCTCTCCTTAGTTCAGCAATCGATGGACCAGTCACACGGGCTTCTGGTGGTTCAGAGAAACTTTCATTTTGATTTCTTAACTCAACATCAAAATCATAATGATCGTTTTTTCTAAATTGGTTACAGATATTGTGTAACACACAGCAGCTATTAATAATTTTAGATGCTTTTATAGGGTGATAGTGCAGCACTCTGTGCCCCAACAAGCATCGCCACCTATTCTTGAGGACCCCAATAGTACGCTCCACTACATTGCGAGCGGAGCAATGCATTTTGTTGTAAAACTCTTCTGGAGAACCTTCAGCAGCATCCGCAATAGGGGTCATCATGTATGTCCTTTGGGCATATCCAGAATCACCTAATGAAATAAAAATATCAAATTAAATAACTACACTTTTACAACTATTCATAATAAATCAATTATTTTCTAGTAATTTACCTAGAAAATATACATTTTCCCCAGCATCATTAAGGGTGATCAAGTGGCTCCTAATACTGTGCTGGTTCCAAATGAAACTGTCATTTGAGTTGCACCACCAAAGGATGCATCTACAGACAGAATGTTTAAATCGGCATCACAGATCTAAAAAAAAGTTAAACTATTATTTTTATGATACAGTAGAAAATATTATTATGTATAAGAATCACTTATTTGATTAAAATTATTAAATGTCATGTCTCTGAACACTTTTCTTCATTTTCTGATGGCCGCACTATTGCCACATGAGTGCCATCGATGCAGCCCAAGACTCAGGGGTCCCAAATTTTTCATAAAACCTGAATAAACAAATATCTCAGCATTTGTTCAAATATTTTGGTAAGTATCTTAACGGAGTATCTTTAATAAAGGAGATTAACTTACCGTCTTTTAGTAAGATCCCTCTGTGAGCGAGTTTGGGGAAACTTTACCCACTTCTTTAAAATGTTTTCTTGATTTAAAGCGATTACCGTATTATTAATCGCCTTAGAAACAGACTGCTGGGACATGAGTGTCCCAAACGTCCTCCCAACAAGCTTTTGGTAGCTGCCAGTGGCGAAGAATGAGTGCTACCAATAACTGTAAATTGAAAATATTTGATTGAATACAAATAATTTAAGATAGGTGTATTGAATTTTATACATTATTTTCTACTTACTTTATATTTAGGTGATATATCACTTCTCCTCTTCGCAACTGGCAAGTAGGGCTGCAACTCCTCATAAATTTCGTTAAATAAGCTTTTGGGGACGCGATAATTTGCCACAAATACTCGTCACCCATGGAGAAAGCCTTATCCATATAACGCGCCAAGTGACGCTCATTTCTCAGTATTTTTAGTTGCATTCTTCGCGCATTTTGCAAAAACACAAATGGTAGAGCTAAACGTATGGCACGTTTTTTTGTTTGTCTTGTTCTATTGCAAAAAGAAAGCTAAATTTGCTTATAATTAAAAAACAATATAAACAAAGTACCGCTTTTGTTATTGGGAAAATCTCAATAATAACACAATGTCAACATAATGCAAACCCAATCGTGGCTGTCAAAATAGCGTCCAGAGTACGAATTAAACTCAATCTCGATGCCATTTAGTTCATTCAATATCCACCCAATACGAATACAATGTGGCGCTAGTATTGCATCTCAAGAGTAGGTACGAAACATTACAATATCAATGTCGATCGATCGGAATTGGATTCAAGAGTAAGCCCCCTGATTTCGTGTTCTTCCATTTTGATGTTCACTCCTTGACAGTCCGTATTTAAATGAATGTAGCTCCCAGGAATCGTGACCTATTTATATGTTTTTTTTTTCCTGAACTAGTGGGTAATTGAGCAAGTGACTGAGCAAGTGTTTTTTTTTTGTATTTTTGTGTGCACTAGAAATAACCGATTATCATTACTTTTGGATCACCCCTCGTATTACATTTTGGTTGTTTTCAGCAAAATACTGTTTTGCACTGTCTCGTTGGGATAAAGGATAGTCATCATTTGAATCATCACTACTAGGAAAAAGTCTGGGTCGATATTCTGAATGTCACGCTTTAATTTTTTGAACCTTTAAATTTTTCTCTCAGAGACATATTCTTTTGTGCTAAGGCTATCATCATTTTAGAGCTTCTGTGCGACAGCTGGCTGCAACAAACCAACAACTATTTCCTTACTTAACTTGTAACTAAACATAGATTTCGCTCAATTAGTTATATTATTCCATTCAATTTGGTTATGTAAATTTGACTTCTCGATATGTTTTTTGATTACTCAGGAAACTAACAAACCAAACGTGGATTAGTTCGGTATGTGCTTGTAGATCTACTTTTACACTATTGTAAAAAAACAGTGTAACCTATTGTGTTTTTACATAATTATAACTATGATGTGATATGACTGATTGGTGTACTTACAGTCGATGGCACATCAAGAATATTGTTATACCTACACTACGAATACGACTCGTATTGCATGCCTGATAAAGGCGGTCTAAAGGGTAACATATCACAATTGATGTGCAGTTGAGTGTAATTAACTACTGAGATGAACACTTTAACGTTATTTCGAAGTGTTGTTCTCGAAACTTCAAATTTGAAATTAATTTAACCTCTAAGAAAGTAGAAGAAACTAGAGAATTAACTATAAAAAACTTACCTTGATATTAATACACAAAAGCTTATCTCGGCGTAATTAGAAATACTGCATTTAATAAAGTTGTTCTTATTTTAAACACACCATAAAACGAATTTGCTTCCTTCCGCAAACAAAACAAACTAAGAAATGATAGTTACTATGTTTATATTCATGTCACGACACGCTCTATTGTGATATGTAAGTGAGTGTAATCCTTATTGCTAAAGATATTAAAGTCAATTTTAATTACGTTACCTATTATACTTAGGTATAGCCGTATCTCAAGCCTTAGCGAACTAATAATACCCACATTTACTTAGCGTAAAAGCGCAAACTCCAGAACTTTTTTCGAAACATGAACTTACCGCTTATTGACTTAAAAATTTACTTCGGTTTTTCATTAACATTTGTTAAGCGTTTCTAGCCTATGTCGGTATAAAGGAGTCTACACACCAAACCCGCCGACCCGCCGACACAGCCACACACGGCGGCTTGGTGTCGGCTACTTTGCTTCACGAATCATGTCGGCGACTCGTACCCGCGCGTGCAAGTCGGCGGCATGGCCGGCGACTTGCGTACGCGCACGCTCAGTTGCCCGCCGACACTCCAGCGATAGTGACGTGCTTGTGTGTTTTTTGCGATTTTCTGCAATAATGGAATGGGACGAAGAAACCACTCTAAAAGTTACAATTTCCGAAGTGCCGAATTTCTATTTACCGAGAGATTCCGTACCATTTTCTTTATTTTTTCTTTTTAGGTTGTTACATTGATAATAGTTATCAATGTAAATATTAATTAATAATAATATTTCTAAAACAATTAGTATTAGGTATGATTTATGACCATTGTCTTTTTTTTTCATATATTCCGTGTGGTGTACCTACTCGCGGGTTAAAGCTAGTGTATAATACATTTCATAAGTAAACTGTTGGTGATTCAAATAAAATATTATTTAGACATGTGTAAGTAATGCGAGTAATGCAATACGCGTAATATAACCCGACCGCGTAGAGTAATATCACACATTACTCGACTAAATTAAGCATCACACATCACACTAAAGCATTACTCGGTCGCGCAGCTCTAGACATGACTTGTCGCGATCTCATGGCGGAATGGCAGCAACGACTGTCGCAACCGAGGGCTGGGCTCGCTGCCATCGCAGCGGTAAGTCCCCTCTTTGAGGAGTGGCTTGAGAGACGCTACGGCGTCCTCACCTACCGCCTGACGCAGGTCCTCACCGGACATAGGAGTTTCGGGAGGTACCTGTGTCTGATGGGGCGGGAGGAAACGTCCGGGTGTCATCACTGCGAGGATCGCCCTGAGGACACGGTGGAACACACTGTCGCGAAATGCCCTGCGTGGGCTGAGCACCGCCGTGTCCTCAGGGAAGTGATCGGCGATCCTCCTTTTGCGAAGCAGTCATGCTAGCTAAGGAGGAGGCGGGACGCGTGAGGCAGCGAAGCGCTGCCTCCACGCAACCCAGCCATCGCGAAGGACACACCGGGTGTCGGGGATCGCGGGACGATCTCCGGCCACCGTAAGCGCGGGCCTGCGGACGGCGAGCATGGGTGGCTCCCCGTCCGACCAGAAACAGACCCGAGCGTACGGCGCGTCGCGTTCCGCGCGCGCCTCAAAGAGCCATCAGACCACCACAGATGGGGCCCAATAGGGCCGATGCCGATTCGGAGTCGCGGAGAACCTAACGGGTAACCGGGGCTCCGGCTCGACGTGCAGGAGAAGGAACGGGATGGTTTTTAGTCAGTAAGAGCCTGACACTCCCTCCCGCCTCACCCAGGCGGGAGCAGTCATTAGATGATTTTCCCCCCTTAAAAAAAAAAAAAAAAGACATGACTTGTGCGATGGGTGATGTGATGCGGTGTTCGTTCTGCCTGCAATCGTTCGGCTAACTTCGGAAGGAATCGTCAATATTCGAGAGACCGAGCGGCGAGCGAGGCAGCCCCGCCTCCGAGTCCGCAACTGAACAATTCGGTTTGCCAATTGCTCTTTGATTTAGAACTGTATGCTTTAAGACATAAGGATTACATTTTTATAAAGTCACTCATCGTAATTCAAGTATATAAGTATAAGTATTATACCTCGTAATTTCGCCGACACTTTTTTGAAATTTCTTACGACTTCTTTTCTTACGACTGCACTTATAGTTTTAAAATATTTCGTAATTTATTTAAAGTGAGAGTGATAGCGTGTTTGACATTTTGACAAGTAATACATACAAACTGGTTGAACAATAGGTACTTACTTGCTTCGTGTGAGTGAATGTGTAAATAAATAGGTATAGGTATAGACTTGGAAATAGTAAGTTAGTTATAGAAAATAAGTTGTAAATAATTAACTGTTAGTGAAAATGTCCAAAAGAAAGAGCAGCCCCCTTTGGAACCACTTTGAGGAAGTTGTGCCTGGAAAGAAGGCAAAATGTGGCTACTGTTCCCGGGTACTGGCGGTTTCATCAAGCTCAATCGGAAGTTTAAGCCGACACATAAAATCCGTCCACCCGACTGTACAAATTAGCAGTAGCTGACAGCCGGCAATAACACCAGCGGCAGTAGAAGCATTCGACGGCGACATCATAGCATCAGCGGAGCCGGCAGCAGTACCCTCGAGTAGCGGCAGCGTGCAAGGTGAGGATCACAGAGCCGATAATCCTTTGTTTGTACGACTTGGCCAGAGACCGACCGCGGCTGCCCCTACAATGGCTGATTACGTGCAGTCAAATAAATCCCTGCCAAGACATCGAGTGCAACAGCTCGATGAACAATTAGTTCGGATGATTGCGAAGGGATATCACGCCCTTCGCTTGGTTGATGAAGTGGAGTTTCGCAAGTTCGTGGAAATGTTAAACCCGGGCTATACATTACCGACCCGGAAAACTCTTTCCGAGAGCCTACTCCCTAAGGTTTATAACAAAGTCTTAGAAACAGTGAAAAAGCAAATCGCTAAAGCTGCAGCTGTTTGCATAACTACAGACGCATGGACATCCTGTGTGCACGATGGCTATATTGCGGTCACTGCACATTTTATTGACACAGAAACGCACAAAGTATGCACAGTTATGATTGGGTGCTTAGAGTTTGAGGAGAGACACACCAGTGCAAACCTAAAAGGCTTTTTGGAGGCGAAGTTCCAGGAGTGGAACATATCACAATTCGTCAATGTAATAGTCAGTGACAATGCGGCGAATATTTTAAGTGCTGTGCGGCTAGGAGGCTGGCGATCTTTGCCTTGCTACGCACATACCTTAAATTTAGTGGTGCAAGGTAGCTTGGACGCCTTGTGTGATACGATGCAAAGGGTAAAAGCGGTTATCGAATATTTTCATCGCAGCCATCCAGCGAAGAAGAAATTGGTGGAAATTCAGGAGCAAATGCATATTTCCCCATTGAAACTGAAGCAAGACGTGACTACGCGCTGGAACTCTACATATGATGCGCTAAACCGGTTGCTGAGGATGAAAGAAGCCCTAATTGCCACTTTAGCAATTATGAGGCCAGACATCAACCTGCCGCAAGATGATTGGATCGTTATCGAAAAAGCCACTGAGGTATTAAAACCCTTTTATGAGGTCACTACTGAAATTAGTGGCGAACAATACGTATCGGCGTCAAAGTACATTGTACTCTGTAAAATAATAAATCGGTCCCTCAGCAAATATTCTCCGGATGGTCATCCCAAGTTGGAGCGCCTACATAACGCACTCAAACAACAAATGGCGCAAAGATTCGGAGATGTAGAAAATAAACCACTTCTTTGCGAGGCGACCATATTGGATCCGAGATTCAAGAAAAGTGGCTTTAGTGATTTAAGAAATTTTGAGAAAGCAGTGGCTGCTCTAAAATTAAGAATTGGCTCGGACAGAACCCTGACCCACGTACCCGTTCAGGAGGAGGCAACGCAAGTGCCAGCTCCTCAGCCGCCGAAAACTGGCTCTATTTGGGACGATTTCGACGAGGAAATTTCTGCTCTCGTTCCACAAAACCCAACCGCTGCTGGCATTGTCGAATTCGATAAATACTTAGACGAACCTTTGATAAAAAGGTCAGAAAATCCTTTGCTCTGGTGAAGTGATCGCAAAGGCATCCCCGGCTGTACAGATACATGCTGAAACGCCTCAACATCGCAGCAACGTCGGTACCGTGCGAACGGGTCTTTTCGAAAGCTGGCCTAATATTAAATGAGAGGCGAACCCGACTCAGATCAAAAAAAACTGTCGGAATTAATATTTATAAGCTGCAATTAGTGATTTTATAAAGTGTAAAATGTGTGTACAAACTTATATATATATATGTGTAAATATTAACTTATATACATACATCTATATTTGTATTATATGTAAATATGCAATCATTGTACATACAGTTGATTTTTAAATACGCCAATATTCATGATTTGTTCAATTACGTACCTACTTCGTTTTGGTTAGTAGGTAATTAATTGTAATCTACGAACGAATATTGCCAGTCCTAAGCCTGGAAAAACGGTCCGTAATATTTGAGTACGCATGGTTTAAGTATGAAGGGAAATCAACTGTAAATAATATTACACTTTAGTAATTTATATATTCTGTGTTATGTGATAAATCTGAACATTGCATTACAACATCACGACAGTGATTATAGCCCTCATATTACGCTTATGATGCAACATCACGCGTGATGTTTGAAGTGATGGTAAAATGTAATATTACTCGGCACGAAATGACATATCACATTACTTCGTGATGTACTGTTTTGCGCATGTCTAATATTATTTCAGGAGATAACAGCAACTGACAATAATGCCCAACATGTGGACAATGATGCTCAACATGGGGAAAACGATTCACCTCAAACGTCAAACATCATTCCCCAAGCGAATAAACGTTATAAACCTAATCCAAGTAATGAGATGGTGTCGGAAGCATTAAATTTAATGAGAACAGTCAGTCAACGGACAAATCAAAAAATAAAAGATGAGGACGATTTGTTTGGCGAATATCATCAACAGCCTATAAATGCCCACTGCTGAGCAAAGCCTCTTCTCACACGGAGAAGGTTAGAGCATTAATCACAACGCTTGCTCAATGCGGGTTGGCGATTTCAAACTTATAATTAGAAATTATAAGTTCAGGTTTCCTCACGATGTTTTTCCTTCACCGTTTGTCAGTGGTGTCTAAATAATCTTAGAAAGTACATATAACTCGGAAAAAGTCACATTGGTACTTGCCGTTGGTAGGTTTCGAACCCGCACCCTCATGCATGAGAAGTGGGCGTCTTAAACCTCCGGGCCATCACGACATTGGCGAATATATTGCGACACAACTTAGAAAATTTTATAAAACAACAAAGACCTTTAATAAAACATCGGATTAACAATATCTTTTTTGAAACCGAAACTGGATATCGTTCAGACATGTTCGAAGCTTCGCCAAGACCTTCTACTTCCCATAGTCATCCAGGATATTATACAATGGATCAATGTGATGTAAATTCCTACTACTCATCATCCAACTCTGCCGTAACAAACCCTGTTTCACCGCCTCTTGGTGAACCTTCAACATCTTCAATTGAACCTTCGTTACGTGTGTCGCTTCAAGAGAGTGGTGATATTAAGAACATATTATCATCTATTGAGTCAGATAAATAAGTTTATTCCACAAATCCCCACCGTGTGCACCACTAGAATAACCCTATCACCTGATGCGAGATAACGTTATGTAGGCACAAGTATTTCGTCTTAATGTTGTTGTCATAGAATCGTCATAGTATACTTAAAATGCATAAAAACATCAGTGGGGATTTCGCGGTGGGGATTTATAGAATAATCGGTAAATAAAACCACTTAACAAGTGATTTACGAAGTTTTTAATACAAATTATAATAAAAATACAAGTACTAACTACAAGTATGAGTTTCATTAAAACTTACGAGTTAGTCATTAAACATTAATAATGTTAAACATTAATAATGTTAAACTAAACATTAATAATGTTAAGATAGGTGGTGTCAAACGGCTGGGGAGGAATAGAGTTTCGGTTGAGTTTGTGACGTACCAGGATGCTAACAGCTTTTTAGTAAACGGTATGGTAGCTCAAAACTACATAACTTCAATCCCACAATTTAATATTACCCGAATGGGCATTGTCAGGGACGTCCTTGTGGAATAGACAGAGGACGAAATCATTGGTAACATCAGGGTTCCCACCGGGTGTGAGGCTGTGATAAAAGCTAGGAGGATGAATCGCAGAGTCCAACTCCAAACGCTACCGAATGGAAGCCTACCCAAACCGTAGTGCTTACTTTTGACGGCCAAACACTACCTAAAAAAGTGTTTTGTTTTTACTCAGCGCTCCCGGTAGAACTATATTCATACCCTACCATACAGTGTTATCACTCTTGCCGTTTTGGGCATACCCACACTCTTTGCCGCTCCAAGCCACGTTGTTTCAAGTGTGGCCAGGATCATCCAGGGGATGGATGCCAGATTCCAGCTGAGACTGCAACCTGTGCAATTGCAATGGCACCCAGTTTGCTAATGACAAAGCTTGTACTGAATTGGGTCGCCAGAAGGGCATCAAAGCTCTGATGGCTGAAAAATCAATTTCATATGCGGAAGCAAGCCAGGTCTTCCCTTCTGTAAAAAGGTCATATGCTGAGGTCTCAAGATCAGTCAACCTCATTGATCCCTCTCCTAATAAAAAACCATCCCAACAAAGAGTCTGTTGAAATGTTGGTGCAATGTAAATGCATTTTAGTAAGTTGGCAACGCTGTTGTCATAAGTCTATTAAAAGAATGATTTGAATTTTTTCTGTACTGTTCTCGAAGGGTCTGTTGACTGTTGACCACTGTTAACATAAAAGTTATTTTTCTAATAAAACAGTTTCTAAAAGGTATTCATTTTTATTTACAACAGGTTATGGGCCCAGAACGCCTACCCTGTTTGTAAATACAAAAAAAAAAAAACATCGTGCGAAATAAAGAATATCGGCAAAAAGTAAGGTTAGGAAAAACACGTGAATGGTCGCTTGAAAAACTTACATCGTCATTGTCGAGAAGGTTAAATAATTGCTGTAGTAATACAACAAGGCAGAAAAGCAAGATGGAAGGAAATATTGGTAATATAAGTCATGTGATGAAACTGGAAGGAGCGAGAAACTGGAACGTCCGGAAGTTCCAGACGATGATATTACTGCGAGGACAGGGTTGGCTTGAAATCGTGGAAGGACAGTCAATAAAACCGGAAGATGGAGCTGCACGGGTCACATGGGAGTCTAAAGACGCGAAGGCTCAGACTTTATTGGTCACACGGATGACAGAGGATGTTATGTTACACCTTATAACGTGCTCAACCTCAGCAGACATGTGGAGAAAGCTCTTGAGCGTTTATGAACATAAAACGGAAACTAGTATACACATTTTGCAACAAAAATTCTTTCAATACAAATACGAAAAAGATATTGAGATGTCGGTGTTTTTATCCAAAATACAAGAAATGCAGTGTCAACTGAAACAAATGGGTGAAGAAATTTCCGATAAGTTCATAATAACCAAGGTATTAATGAGCTTGCCAGATGAATATAAACATTTTATTTCTGCATGGGAGTCTGCCCCGGATAACAAACAAACATTCGACAATTTAGTAGCGCGATTAGCGCGACAGGTTGAAGGTTAAAACTGATGAAAAGCAGGATACTATGTCATCGGCGTTAGTGGCAAAAAGAAACGTATCATGTTATAAGTGTGGTAAATCTGGTCATCATCAAACTGAGTGCAGGTACAATAAAGACAGTGCAAAGAAGGTGAACGATAATACAGAGACTGAACCACAAATTGTGTTGGATTTAGGTGAGCAATCCACACAACAAGGTGCTCAAGAAACTGAGAATGGAAATGATAAGGATAAATCTTTAGGACAGTTGGAAGATGATATAAATGAAACTCAAAATGGTCCTGATATTGACACATCTACTGAAAGTGAGTATGTGAGTGAGTATGAACCCTCAAGTGAAGAATCTGAGATTGGTGACACTTAGCAACTGCGAGAAAGAAGCAAGCGAACAAGGAAACAAACTTCATTCTACCAGTGTCACAATGTGGTGAGTAGTGAAAGTGAGCCCGTTACCTACAAGGAGGCAATGAGTAGGAAAGATGCAAGTAAGTGGGTTGACGCTATTAATAGGGAGTTACAAACCTTAAAAGATAACAATACTTGGGAATTTTATGATACAAGGGAGGGTGAAGATGTTGTTAGCACTAAATGGGTTTTTAAAGTCAAAAAGAACGGGGATAAAAAGGTATATAAAGCTAGGTTAGTAGCGAGGGGCTTTGAACAAAATAGTCATTATGATCTTGGGGATATTTATGCTCCTGTAGCAATGCTTTCAACCTTTAGAGTGTTCATAGCAGTAGCGACTAAGTTGAATCTTCCCGTATACCAAATGGATGTAACTGGAGCGTTTCTGTATGGGGACATAGATAAAAAGGTACTAATTAGATTGCCAGAAGGGGCCTATTCTGGGGATAAAAATATTGTTAAATTAAACAAATCATTATATGGATTAAAGAGCTCACCTAAGTGTTGGAATGTAAAATTTAATTCAGTAATGACTAAACAAGGTTATGTAACATCTAAAAGTGATTCATGCTTGTATATTAAGTCCTGTGGTAAGGATAAAACTTATGTTTTATTGTATGTTGATGATATACTGTATTTTGGCACAAATGAACGTGACATTTCGCAACTTAAGACTAGTTTAAACAGGGAATTTCAAATGAAAGACATGGGGTTAATATCAACCTTTTTAGGTATAAATGTAAAGCAGAATATTGAAACTGGTGTTACTGAACTTGATCAAAGTAGTTACTTACAAAGTATTCTTAAAAGGTTTAACATGGAAAGTTGTAAAGATATGTAAACTCCTATGGAACCTATAGATAAGCAAATAGAAAAGTTGTGTCGACAAATCATTGGCTGTTTAATGTATGCTGCAATGGGCACTAGACCTGATTTGTCTTTTCCTATCTCTTTGCTTAGCAGATATCAAGTCAGTGCAAATACTGAACTGTTAAGTGCATTAAAAAGAG